GGGTTTAGGGCTTAGGGGTTTTAGGATATTGGGATAATGGAAAATCAAATGGAAACTACTATAGTATATTGGGGATATATTGGGATACTGGAAAAGAAAATGGAAACTACTATAAAGGGGTAGAATCGCTCCCTGGTTTAGGGTTCAGGGTTTTAGGGGGTTAGGGGTTTGGGGTTCTAGGGTTTTAGGGTTCAGGGGTTTTAGGGGTTTAGGGGTTTAGGGGTTCAGGCTGGAAACTACTATAATCGGTTATATAGGGTACATATTGGGGTTCTATTGGGATACTGGAAAAGAAAATGGAAACTACTATAAAGGGGTAGAATCGCTCCCTGGTTCAGGGTTTTAGGGTTTTAGGGGTTTCAGGGGTTTCAGGGTTTAGGGTTTGGGGGTTTGGGGTTTAGGGGTTTAGGGTCTGGATGGGGTTAGGGGTTTGGGGTTTAGGGGTTTGGGGGTTTATGGGTTTGGGGGTTTAGGGGTTTGGGGGTTTAGGGTTTAGGGGTTTAGGTTTTTAGGGGGTTCAGGGTTTAGGCTGGAAATTAATATAATGGGTTACACAGGGTATATATTGTGGTTCTATTGGGATGCTTGAAAAGAAATGGAAACCACTATAAAGGGGTATAATCGCTCCCTGGTTCTGCAGTAGGTTATAGTCCCCCTTAAGTAGATAGAATATAGGGGTTATATAGGGATTGTATTGGGAGAATGGAAAATAGATCGGAAACTGCTATTTCGGGTTTAGGGTTTAGGGCAGTAGCTTAAGGCTTCAGATCAGAGAATTAGTAAGGAGTGAGATGGTGTTTTCAACCTTGGGGGGACGCTAGGGCTACAAGGGGATTTACTAGGGTCCCCCCGTTAAGGATTGGAGTATTGTGATAAACTCCCACATGATTTCTGAAGGCAAGTCAGAACATCCCTCACAGCAGCCCTTTTTCAGAGCGGGCATGCTGCCGTTTTTTGCTCCACCTGTTCCTGTATGCGCTTCCATCGCTAGAGGGACCCAATACACACTCCAGTATACGGCATTTCTCATCATAGGCATTACAGGGACTTCCAAATAGGGATTCCCAAAAAAGGATGTACATGTTTTGGAAACCCTTTTGTAAGGTTGAGCAGGACGTTCAAGAATGGCAACCTCATGCAGCAGCTTAGCTATGGCAGTGGAGACACGTCGCCCGGCAATGAGTAAGCCACAAATGGGCTTCGTACTTAGTAGGGATGTATGCGTCAAGGGCCCTTCTTTGATTTGGGAAGGATGTGGGCTAAGTGCATCATGGAAGCCGGCATGTTCCTAAGCTCCAACTCCTGTGGGATATCCTCTGGAAGTGGCCTCCCGGAGGCTAAAGTTTGGCTTGCCACTGCTGTTGCTCTTCGTTTGGGTCGGTCCTTCAGAAAGCAGCCAGGCATTTTTGGAGAAACAAACTTGGGAAAGCATTTCGAAGGCGCTTTCGCTTGCGGCCCGCAAACGCGGGTCACATAACATGCTGCAAGGATTTGCTTGAGTGTCTTGGGATGTTGGCAAGGATCTTCGTTCAGCATATGCTGTAACTGCAGAACCCTTTTCTGTCCTTCGATGACGATCTCACTAGGGTTGAGTACTCAGGACTGGCGTGAACACTCAGTTCCATGACCTACTGACAGTCTAAGGTTGAAACCAGGGCCTCGGGCCCTTAACCCTGGTGTCCTTATCATACCTATTATATACCCTATATGTACCTAGAATCCCCCTACAAGGCCCAGGGGCCCCATATTAGGGGCCCATACTTCTAACCTTAGAGACAGGCTCTGCACCGATGCCACAGATGTGCTGACCATAGGCCTGCCCCACTGTTTGGATCGGACCTAGGTGCATAGGGAAAATCCAAGTTGCAGCCAGGGAATGTCCTATAGTCTTTTTATAGGCTTTCTACTTCATATAATGTCTAGTATAAAACTCTCTATATATGTGTGTGTTTGTACATATATGTGTGTGTATTTGTATATATCTAGATAGCTGTCTAGTTTTTTTTTCCCGCAAAATACCTGTCCAGGGTTGGACAGCCACTCCAAGAAGCCTCAGGCTTCAATGACTAAGTGCATACCTGAACCCCACAAAGTATGTAGAATCATGGCCATTTTGGCTATGATCTTTGGATCATTGTTTTACCTACTTTGGGGTCCAGGTAGGCACATGTAAAGATGGCCATTGGTTTCTTGGAGGTTTATGAGCCTGTGCAACATCTCCCGTTCGGTTCCAAGATGTTCAGAATCTGGAAGACCATGTGGCAGCTTCCCTGAATAAGGTGCGCCGAACATAGGCTCCAAAATATTATAATCCTTATTATAGAGATCCCCCAAAAAGGGTAACCTCCAATTTTGGGAAACCCCCCCCATATGCTCCCTAAAAGACATGGAAACCCATGCAGCCACCGTGTAAACAGACAGCAGTCCTTGCAGGGCAGATTTGGGCTTCCGTGTTTCCTTGGGGGGAGCGTAGCTTCTAGGGTTGGATGGTGGACGTACACAACTCTACTGGCGCAATAAGCTATTGCTTATTGCTTGCTAGTAAGGGATGGGGGAATGGATCCCTATAGTGGCCACCTTAAAGTTCCCAAGAAACAGTGATTTCCATGTGGATTTCCTGACTACCACCCAGTCAGATTGCGGAGCATACTGGAAGCCATTGCTGGCAGGGCCGCTCTCGGTGCCAAAGCAGCCTTTGTTCCCTGGCTGCCTTCCTTGCAACGGGCTTGTTGATTGGGGCACTCTCCTAGTATAGACATACACCCTAAGCATTTGTAGGTTCAGTACCTGAGTACCGTGTCAGCTTTACATTGGATCCTGTGATGCGACGGCAAAAGAACTGCCATAGCCCAGGTGGCTTGTGCGGGAGGCAGACATGGCAATCCTGGGCGAAGCTGACTTCCAAGCAATTCTAGGCAGGTAACTTTGGCCAGACCTGCTCCTGCTTCCTCTCCTTGCTACTGTGCGCAAGCATGAGGTGTAATTGTACTATTACTGGCCGGTGGTGGTGATTCTGGCGGTGGTGGTAATGTTACTGCTACTATGAGCTTTCAGAGCTGTGAGAGAGTCCACTCTGTGAAGCGTTTAGGGTGGAGAGGCAGGTCTGGGCTTTGGGATGTGGGGGGTTGTTGGCTGGGATTCGGTGGCCCGGAACCCATGCAACCTGAGATGCAACCTGAGGGAAGCCAACAACAACAGGCCTAGAGCCAGGACCCCTAGCCACGGAGAATGCAACAAGAGCTTCAAAAGCTTCAAACTCGCTTTGCAAGGGCCCGATAAACTGCTGAAACTATGGAGTATGGCTGTCCGTCCTGAAGGCAGCAAATAATATGGTTCCCAAAGATACAGTCTTTACATGGAACGTCAGGCTCTAGCTTACTAGAGTACATGGCGGCCTGTAGCCGCCTGGCACGTATTCGGGTTCTCTAAACCCTAAAGCCCCAAACGCGAAAAGCCTAAACCGCAAATCCCCCAAACCCAAAACAACAACGCCCCACGCCCCCAAACCCGGAGCCCTGTTAACCCTTAAGCCTCCAAAGCGCAAAGCCCTGAACCGTAAAGCCCTTTGGTGCTGTGTAGGCTTGGGTCCACCAGCTGCTGTAAAGCAGCAAGCCAAGATGGACCGAGAGCAGCTGCAGAAGATGGAGGACAAGCTGAAGGCCTCCCTGGTCACTTTAAGGAGGTTGGGGTTTAGGGTTTAGGGATGGAGGTATCCATCTGTATACATGAATAGATTATAAACAACAGTATATATGCATAGGGGGATATGCAGGTTGAAGGATGAGAGCTTCTCATGGTTTCTCAAAGCTCTGGCACACCGGAGACCACTGGGTTTTTTGAGGGAATGACAGCAGTCTATCGGAGTAATTGAATTGCGTACTCCTAGCCCAAATATATTCGGGGGCATCAGGGCGTGAGCCATGTTCAGAAGGGACCCTAAACCCTAAACCCTAGTTGAAGGCTGTCAATGAGCAGGAAACATTGCAGTAGTACCCGGAAATCTCGCCGTAAGTACTTAGCAAGAGGGGATCGGAAAGCCAAAGCCAAGCCGTAAATGGAGCTGTCCAGGCCACAGAATCCAAATGCCCGTTTATAAAAGCGTTTCGCATTTTGGGTTGTATCTTCTTTTCCATGATTCTGATTATGCAGGCCCCTAAACTCTAAACCCTTCAGTGATGTGGTAGTTTCTTTGCATGGGGAGACCTCAACATAGATTCTAATGATATGATATAGTCCTTTCTGGTTTGTGCGAACAGTCAAAAGGGATCCTCAATAATTCTTCGAAACCCTCGTATAGTAGTTTCCATTTGGTTTAAGACTATTCTACTTGTTGGACATACCCTAGCACCTTAAGATTGCACAATATAGCGGTTTTACTTTTTCCATTACTCTCCACCTTGGGGCCCTAAACCCTGAGTGATACAGCAGTTCCCACTGTAATCTGCGTTACTCTAATGTGGAACTATAAACAATTGCCTATATTAGGGTCCGAGATTCCTGAATCCTGGTATAGGGTACCTCAAATAGACCTCAGACTGGTATTGGCAGTCAGGCCGCTAGAATTCCGACAAACCGCTATGTAAACGCAGTTTCTATTTCAGTCTTTATTGATTTATTTTCGTTTGCTATTTGATTCTCCAGTCTTCGTATAATGTCATTATATGGCCCCTGTATAATTCCTACATGTTCCTGTATGACACCTATGTAATCCCTACATAACTTTACAGGCCCCTGCATTAGCCACGCCAGAGCTAGGCGAGCCAAGTTCTATAAGAAAGACTAGTTAGGGCTTAGATAGTCTTATGTAGGGTTCATATGTGGTATGTAAGGATGAAATGGGGTTATATACGGCTTAGGTGGAAGTACATGGGGTTTGCACACTAGTCGGGTTGAGATGGTGTTCCATAGGGTCTTTATCGGCTCCTTTAGGTTTTCGATGGGGTCGTATGGACTTTATGTAGATGAGCGGGTTGCCGTTGAGGAACTTGAAATGCTATACTGTTGTTGTGATTATGGCGAACCCTTTACTATTCTGTGCACCCATACAGTGCTAACTTTTTCAACATCCGTAATAGCAACCCAGGTACGTAATTGTGTTTGGTGAGGTTTGTCAAAGTCATGGTCCCTCCTCGAGCTCCATGTGCAATACGTCCCCGGGCACACGGGGTACGAAAGCAAATAAACTAAGTTTGACGCTTTTGCATCTCAGTTGGCACCACCAAAAGGTTTGGAGCAAAGCAACCCGCAACAGCAATGCATTGAAGCCCACAGGTAGTTTTCTCAAGTAGCCCTTGCAATCAGTCATCCTTGCAATCAGCCAAACCCAAAGGTAAGCACCATCACTCAGCAAATGCTCAACACATTCGTCTATGACTCAGCCCAGCGCAATGCCGAGAAGCAAATTCTCCCTCAAACAGCCCCGGCAGCTTTTCCACAGGGCTGGGGTGCCATTGTGCCAGCGCGTGGAGAGCTCAGAATCCATATGCTGAATCGTCATACAGGATTGTGTCAGCAGTTTGATCAATCTCTTGGGCGTCCTTCTATTCATCACGTGGCTTTTGGGGCAGATATCTGGGGAGCCCCAGTTGAGCGTGTACCCATATAGGTGTTTCCAAAAAGCAGGACCCCGATGTGAAGAAAGAGTTGCCATGATTTTGGGACCCCCCACATCTCGTTCATGATCGTACTTGCATGAGGTCTGAAGAGTCGCATCGAGGCCAAGATGCGTGCGGACACCGTCCTGGACGCCCGAACTGCTTGACCAAGCCCTTGACCCCGAACCCTTAACCGTCACCAAGTGGGAAGGATTCGCGCAGACAGCGCGCCGACTTGTGTTTCAGGCTGTTTGCTAGAGCTGTGTGCTAGGTCCTGAGCATGTGGCAATCCCAAATCCTACGCCTGCACCTGCCAGTGTACGGCTGCAACACATGGGCATATGGGACTTTTCTGTTCTTAGCGCATTTTACTGGGAGTCATCACAATGGTTAAAGTACTTGGGAGTCTACATCATCCCCTTGTTGTTGGGGACCTCCATGTAGGAGAACAACAACGCCCTTGACTGGTGACAGGAGAACCTTGATGACAGTGTGCCGGCAAACCTCCAGATGCGGTATATGTCGGTCTGTTTCGGCGCAGAGACAGGCTCTTTCCGCTGGCTTGCACTTGTGAAATGTGGCTGGTAGCATCATGTTCCTTCTCCTGTCAGAGGATATCACAACTATTTTCACCATTGTTATTATGATTACTGTTATTGCTGCCATTAAAGCTGCTATTACTATTCTTGTTATTGGCTCCGCCGGAGCGTAAACGCGCAGGAATCGTACCTGGCCGACCTCTCCGGACATGGCCTGCGTGGCGCGAACAGCACATTCAAAATGTTTCGAGGGCCCAAAAATACTGCGTATGCCACGCGTCGCGGTTTTCACTCCGGGAAAAGGAGCAACGAGGGGATCAAGGCGAATCCGCTTGCCACAGCATCTATGCCCAGACCATGACATCGTTAATGTTTTAGCTTTTTTAATGCCAAAGCTCTTTTGTCCAAGGGTGTCAGGTGTTTTGACTTAAAATTTCTCATCACCCAATTATTCCAAGGTTCGTCCTATGAGTCCAGTGTTCGTCCTATTAGTCCAAGCTACGCCCCATGAGTCCAAGGGT